AAACCCAAATTTTGTGTTTCTAGTAACCAAAACATTAACTCTGAGATAATTGCATTGGTGTACATTTAGAGAATAAGCAGCACATACTCTGTATTGGGAGGTTTTATGACATGCTTGACATGACAACTATGCCAAATATTTCCCTTGCAAAATTATTATTGTTTCTGTCCCCTCTGGGGAGAATCAACACTGTTTTGCTCTGGTGACCACTGTTGCAGGCTCTTTGAATGAAACGTAATCAATGAATGGAAGGGACGGACCTTTCAGTCATCCTCCTGACCTTCATAGATATTTGGATTCAAAGAAGCTAAAGTACAGCTTCGATGAATGGAGGAGGGTGGTGGAAAATTGCAGGCATAAAGTACTTCTGACTAGTGCCTGGCACAGGTCCATCAGCTCTATTAACCCCTGCCTCATAGGTAGTTTGTGGTGAAGGAAGGTTTCAATGAACGCAGAAGCCAGCAGCACAAGGGATACATCCTGTTGACTGGACTCCACGTCCCTTGTGCTGTTTTTTTTGTTTTTGTTTTGTTTTTTTTTATATTTTGTGACTAAGCTTATGCTTTGAACTAAGCAGAGAAACCAGTTCACTTCCACAATACTCTCGAAGGATTAACAAAAAAAAAATATATATTTATTACAGGTACTTGTATAGCACCATCAATTTACACAGCGCTTTACATATATATAGTACATTCACATCAGTCCCTGACCCTCAAGGGGCGTGCAATCTAAGACCCATAACTTACATTCATACATACACATACAAGGGCCAATTTAGACAGGATCTAGTTAACCTACCAGGCAGGTGGTGCCATGGTTGGGATTTGAACCAACAACCCTAGTACTGCCAGGTGGAAGTGCTAACCATTTAGCCACTGTGCCGCCCCATCCTTAGTGAGTATATATACTCACTAAGGTGGATACAGCATCGATCCCAGCTGCACCGGTCCCCTGTCCCTTCTTAGACTGAGAACTAAGTGATTAAGACAGCTGATCACTCGGTTCTCTGTCTTCAGTGAGCAGAGAGCCAGTGACCATCAGTCACTTGTTCTTTGCCCCTCTAGCGCTCACAGGAGCGTTAGGCTGTGGAGGGGAGTGGCTGACTCAGGCTCTTGGAGGAGCTGGCTCTGAGAAAGAGGCAAGTCCTCAAAACGCGTTAGCCTGTTGGAAGTCCAGGGTCCCCATTCTGGACAATCGCTTAGTGTGGATTGGACAGTGCTGTTCTTTCATGATGTGCTTTTGACATTAATAACATTAATGTCACTTGTGAGTAAATACCTATCATTTTTATCAATCATTTTTTTTAAGGTAATGCACTAGGCTGGTGCACCCTCTGTTTGTTTTCTTTGCATGCAGTGTATTTTGGACTTCTGCAGTCCAAGGGCAGCAAGGCGTGCATGTTCCAGCACATTCTAGATGTGGTTGTAGCCTATGTTGAGCCCATCCCCAAGCGCAGGGGTATTTGGTTTGCCATTTTCTTAGAGGTGCTCTGAGAGGCTGGGCCATCTGCTGGTCCAGGCATCTGGGTGGATCCTGACTGTAAAGTCGGAAACTTTCCTGAGCCTGGACCGACTGAGTGATGTTTGCTGAAAACAGGTCACTGGAGTGTAGAACGAACTGCACTTCTGTGATCCATAGAATTATAGCCAAAAGAGCTTAGGCCATACATCTTCTTTTTAATTATTTGAACCTGACCTGGCTTATAACAGTGCTGATATACTGGGGCATTTTAGTTTCTTCAAATAGCTGTGTGATGCCAGAGGAGTCTCTTAGATGTTCTCGGTATGAATGTTTTAGCCCTAACTGTGCCAAAGTTGAGTCCTCGTGTTCGACCTGGACTGAAGAGCCTAGTAGGAGCATGGGGACCAATCTGAAAACGAACACAGCACTGTTATTCCCTTTTTGGCCTGGGACAGGTTTGTTTGTGCAATTCTTTGGTCCAGAAGTCTTCGGGGTGACCCTGGGACTTGGGTTCTGAAAAGTTATTGGTATAATAGAGTATGTTTGCAAGAATTACTCCATAAAGTTTCTGAACTAGTTCCATAGTCTATAATATAGGTTTGAATATACAAAGAAAATGACTCGAGGGTCCTAAATCATTTATCACAATAAAAGTTAACAGCACAACTGTGTTACCAGAGAAGCCCCCAGGCAAGCTGAGAACTACTTAACAGTATTGTGATTTTTATAATGTCTGACACATGGCCTGATGCCAGCTTCATACAGCACAATCTGTCACAGCACCTCTGGCCTAGGGGGGCTACAATCAAAGTGTGAGCCCTTCTGTTATTGCCAGGGTCTGGACTGTGGGGTACTGTTCACTCCTCCTATACCATACCTTTGGCTGGCGTTTAGGCACAATAGACTATTGAGATCTTTTTTATGTCCAGCATACACTGCGTCTGCTTCTAATTTTGGTTCATGTAAGTTCTCATATTCTAGGCGCTTGTTCATGCTAATGTATTTAAAACATTTTTATCCACATTTCTAGACTGTGGTGTGATTACACATCCGAGCCCTTGAAAATAGTTAACTAAAATGGCATTTAGTTTCCTTACTGAGAAGGATAGCATCACTGCCACAGACCGCATATACGTCCTTTTTTTTTTTTTTTTTTTTTTTTTTTTTTTTTTGTATTTTTAACCTGAACTTGAAAAATGAGAGCTGGAACCTTATTACTAGACCCTTCTGTAGAAGGGCAGATGTCTCATGGACAGGGAAAGGTGAGGGATCTCTCTTGTCCCTATCCTAGAGCTGCTATCCATCCTACCCAGTGTTTTTTTTTTTCGCACATTAGGGGACAGTAGCATAGGCTGACACACCTAGACCTTTGTACAAAATATGTGATAACAAAGAAAGTTTCTTATTTGCTCCATTTTAGTGTGTTAAACATACTTTTTAAGGGGTTTTGTTCTATTTATTCAGTGCAAAAAAAAAAAACAAACTGTTGGTTCTGCAAGAAAATTTGTTCTAAAATTTTAGTGTGCCTGTGCTACAATAGTAATACAGTATTTCAAGTGGAAGACAAGTCCAAACCTATCTAAGCTTTAAAGGATAAGTTCACCTTTTAGTGAAAAATAAACAAATGGTTATTCTGGTTTTTCAGGTAAATATGTGCATTTATTATTTTTGTCTTCAGGAGCCTGTAATGCAGGGGCTCTCAAACTTTTTAAACGGGGCCAGTTCACAGACCTTCACACTATTGGGGGGGCCGGACTATAGTTTGAAAAAAAATATGAACAAATTCCTATGCACGCCGCACATATCTTATCTGTAGTGCAAAAAAAAAACAGAAAAAAACAATACAATATTTAAAATGCACTGTACTCTGTACCGCACTGGGCACCGCAATGCAGTGTACGCTGTAACGCACTGGACAACAAAACGCACTGTACACTGTAGCGCACTGGACAATAAAATGCGTTGGACACCGCAATGCACTATACGCTGATACACTGGACTCCAAAATTCACTGCGCCTGGTGTGCTCTCCTCCTTTCCTGCCCTGTTGCTCCTCTGGCTGCAGCAAGTAAAATCTGAGGCTTGCAGGCTGATGCTCGCTGAGGACCCAGCGAGCAGCCTAGCTATTTGCCGGCCGGCGTGGGTTTTTTTTTTTTTTTTTTTTTTCAGGCCATAGTTTGAGGACCCCTGCTGTAAAACATTGCACCTGCGATCAGTATATCACTGGTGCCAAGCAGGTTTCCTGCAGATCTGTCAGTATATCTGCTTGCCCGGGGAGGGGGGGGGCAGCGGCTGTCTGATCGTTACTTGTTACACTTGAGTATGGTTGTAACATTTTAAGAAAGGTGAACTTATTCTTCAAATCTACTCCCACCCCCATTCTAATCCTATTCTATCTACTTAAATTGTCATTAAATGCATATCATAAAAATCTATCAAATGTATTCCATGATGTTCATACTCAGTCACTATGAGATTCATTTTTTTGTATACTGCAAAAAAAAAAACCTGAATGATCCTGCTACTCTCTTCTCCCTCTTCTGTCAATGTCCCCAATTAAGCTAGGGATTTTTCAGCTATGCTGGCAACTGTGCACATGCTCAGTTTTCAGTGAGTTTCTATGCTGAGCATTTCCTCCCTGTCACATCTGAGCAGCCCATGTGACTATAGAGTCACACATGTGGACATATACACAGTGGTAAATGACATCCCACCCCTTCCCTCCTCCCATGCCCACTAACCAGCTAAATGGGGGCTGGATATTACATAGAGATTAATGGAGGCTTCACCTCCCTCTTATTCTGAGACATGGCCTGGAGGGGCGTGTCACAGCCTGTGACTGTCAGAAATCCGCCCATACCATGTTGTTACTGCCATAAAGTAATAGGATTTAATGTCAAATGTATATATTTGTATGACAATTAAAAACAGTTTATTGATATTATTCATTTGAACATGTGACCAGCAGCAGAGGACTAGAAGCTCCTCCTGCTTAGGTTTCCCTACAGACAGGCTGGGGAAGATTTGGGTCATGTGACAGCTGTATATCTATTAAGAAAAAGGTACTTAGATGTTTGTGTTTTTTTTTATTATTAAAATAATTACGGTGCCATCATCCACATATAGAAAGAGAAGGGACAATGCAAATTAAAAACTGTGTGTGTTTAGTATCACTTTAGCTATTCTGAAGTTACTGCGGTCCAGTCACATGATCTGGTCCCAGCACTGGCCTCAGGGTAGAGAAGGGACAGCCAAAAATGGATGCTCCATAGTAAGCCTACGGGTGATGAAATCGCACCAGCCAGTGTCGGCGATCTCTCCTTTCCACTGAAGCCGCTGCTGGAGAGATCATGTGATCAGAGTGACTTCAGCATGAGTAAAGACCTCTTTCCTTTTAAAGGCTAGATAGAATAGGCTTCAAATGGGTTGGGGGTAGGTTTAAGCTTAGTTGGGTTTTGGCTGGACTTCTATGGTAAGGTAGCCATACACTGCTTGCAATTCCTGATCTTAACCAATATCCCATTACACATTCCGCAGGTTTTGCCATTGAAGGTCCATCTCAGGCCAAGATAGAATGTGATGACCAAAGCGACGGCTCTTGTGATGTGAAATATTGGCCCAAGGAGCCTGGTGAATATGCTGTCCACGTCATGTGCGACGATGAGGATATCAAAAACAGTCCATACATGGCGTACATCCAGCCAGCATCAGCAGACTTTAACCCAGATAAGGTGATAACATTATCTACTGCTTGAAATCAAGGCTTGATGTTTTGTTCATAATATAACAGTTGCTAAGCTGCTAGCAAGTACATGTTTTTGAAGAAAAGCTTTTCTAATGGCAACACTCAAGGGGCAATTTTATAAAGCAGTAAAAGTGATTGACCCAACCATTCACTGGTGGCGAATCAGTAATTGTCATTTAAAATGCATGCATCTGCAGTGACTGTTTGGTGAATGTCAGATTCACTGTATAAAAAATGTCTCCTGGTGTCTTCTGAAGCTTTGTGGATTGTGAATTTGGGGTAACTCAGAAATTCTCCATTGAAGGGAATATGTAGTCTGTTCTGGTGGTTCTTGGTTCTCAATCTTTTTTTTGTTCAGGACCTGGTTAATTCTTCCAAAACACATTTTTATTCATTGGTAAATTCATGTCCCAACATTAAAAAATAAAATGTATACTCATACTGTAAAAGTATGTGAATGCACAGTTTGCATTGAAATGCTGGAGGGGCTGGATGAGTATGGGAGTTGAAGTATGTTAGGGGACTCTGCAGCAGACTTGATGGCCCTGTAGGGAATGAGGTTTCTGGAGGGTATATTGGGTGGCATTATGGAGGGGCAAAATGGCAGGCACTGAAGGCTGAGAGCTCTCGGGGCCTGGAGGCAATGTCGGGCACTGTAGGAGGTTAAGGAATCTTCAGCTGGCTGGAAGCCCCGGAGAAAGAAAGCTGTGGGCCAGGGCTGGGTTGTTGAGAACCACTGGTCTATTCAGTGTTTTTTCTGGTTACCATGTAAATTAGATTAGCATCCTCTGGGAAACCAGCATTTCCGAGAGTGTAATTCTCCTGGGTCCCTCACAGGTTCTTCCTTCTGACTTCAAGTCACTGTAGGATACAATGGTGAGGTCAGAGGCAGGAACCATTTAGAGCTGCACATGACACTTGAGATCAACATTCTTGAACGTTGGTTTCCTAGAAGACTTAGGAGGCTGAACTATTAAATGAAGCAGTGCTTGATGGCACATTCCTTCGAAATCCTGGGTATTTTTTTCCCTCTTTTACAGGAATCCATGTGTAATAATGCTAATTTTTCATAGCACACTTGCTTTGAGAGAATCAAAGTAACTGCACTGATCTAATTACCACTCCCCCTAGTGGCTAATCTACAAATTGCTACACTTTATCAAGTAATGAAAAAAAATACCTAGAGAGAAATTCAACAAAACAGGACTAAAAATCTGTGGTACATTTTAGAAAACTTTGAATTGGAAGGAATGTAAATGTTGGGGTTCTGCTGTATTTGATGCACTTCTTTTTAACTTGCAGGTCAAAGCATATGGTCCGGGCCTGGAGAAGAGTGGGTGCATTGTGAACAACCCAGCAGAATTTTTCATAGACCCAAGAGAGGCTGGGACAGCACATTTGGGCGTCTATGCACAAGTAGGAGATGGTGACATTTATTTCTTGACATATATAACCAGCAGATACAGTGAGCCAGGAGAACCAATTACAAAATCGTATTTTATTGATATTGCCTGTATTAACCCCTTGTTGCTGTGTAGGTGCATTCACTAGTGGTGTTGCTTTGTCTTATAAAGTGCAACCTCTGAAGAAAGTCAGTTGATGAATGGCTGATGCTGTACAGCACATGCTGCAGAAGTGCTAAAGTCTGAATGTAACTTGGCGTTCCTAAACTCAGGACCCTGCCTTCACTATATCTGGTCTCCCACAGTACACAGAATGTGGAAGTGCGATTATTTTAGTAAATATAAACTGATAAATACCTTTTCTCATCAGCAATTAGAGCAGTCTTGTGACTTCTATTGGTGTCCAGCAGAGCACGTTAAAGCTTGTAGGAGGAGTTTTCGTTTTGCTCTAGGGGGATGCAGAACCCCTGATCTCTGGACAGTGCTGATTGGCCTTGTGTTGATCACATGCACTCTCCCAAGGAAAAAAAAAAAAACCTCTCTAGCAATAAACACCAAACTGAGCATGTGCAGAGTGACTCCACACATCTTATCAGGAGATGAGAGAAACTGGAAGAAGGGGAGGATCAGATGAGGCAGGATCTAACAGTCTTTTTACAGAATGCAGGGGATTAACCACTTAGGTTTCACAGTGAGTATAACAAGCATGTTTCACTGCATATACAGACTGATTTTACTATTGTGGATTTAGTAACACTTTAATTAGAACTCCAAAGCATTTCGCAGGTCAAAGCCCGCTCCCTCAGGAAGATCTGGTATATATCTCTAGAATCATAAGCAGAGACAAAATGAACAAACAGAGCATTTACATTTTAAGATGATACACCTATATATACCAAAAGTCAATACCTGTTTGTTCAAAATTCACAACATAACCACAGTCACAGCGATGGAGAACCAATTCATTCAGCAGATTTAGAAATGTGTGATATATGGACAAAATAAATACCAATCCTATATAAAGGTGAAAGAAAAGCGGGAAAAAGGAGGAAGAAAAAAAAGTAGCAGTAAGTTTAGTAATACACTGATTGATATATATATATATATATATATATATATATATATATATATATATATATATATATATATATATATATATATTTATAAATATATATAAATGTATGTATAATAAAAAGAGGGACAAAGGATCACTTTCTAAAATGAGCTAGCTAAATATATTTGTAATTCCATCAATAATATTCTGGGGCACAGATAGCTCCGAACTACACCCCTACATATTGGTCTCAAATGTACGCATCAGAGCCCCTAGTGATTGATATAGATATATATATATATATATATATATATATATATATATATATATATATATATATATATATATATATGAGATTCATCAACCTGCAATTATCACAATATCTTAAATATCAAAGATAGTCCTGCATGGAATTTATCCTGGAAGCCATCATTATACAATACATACAGTCAGGTCCATAAATAGTGGGACATGGACACAATTCTAACATTTTTGGCTCTATACACCACCACAATGGATTTGAAATGAAACAAACAAGATGTGCTTTAACTGCAGACTGTCAGCTTTAATTTGAGGGTATTTACATCCAAATCAGGTGAACGGTGTAGGAATTACAACAGTTTACATATGTGCCTCCCACTTGTTAAGGGACCAAAAGTAATGGGACAATTGGCTTCTCAGCTGTTCCATGGCCAGGTGTGTGTGTTATTCCCTCATTATCCCAATTACAATGAGCAGATAAAAGGTCCAGAGTTAATTTCAAGTGTGCTATTTGCATTTGGAATCTGTTGCTGTCAACTCTCAAGATGAGATCCAAAGAGCTGTCACTATCAGTGAAGCAAGCCATCATTAGGCTGAAAAAACAAAACAAACCCATCAGATAGATAGCAAAAACATTAGGCGTGGCCAAAACAACTGTTTTGGAACATTCTTAAAAAGAAGGAACGCACCGGTGAGCGCAGCAACACCAAAAGACCCGGAAGACCACGGAAAACAACTGTGGTGGATGACCAAATAATTCTTTCCCTGGTGAAGAAAACACCTTTCATAACAGTTGGCCAGATCAAGAACACTCTCCAGGAGGTAGGTGTATGTGTGTCAAAGTCAACAATCAAGAGAAGACTTCACCAGAGTGAATACAGAGGGTTCACCACAAGATGTAAACCATTGGTGAGCCTCAAACAGGAAGGCCAGATTAGAGTTTGCCAAACGACATCTAAAAAAGCCTTCACAGTTCTGGAACAACATCCTATGGACAGATGAGACCGAGATCAACTTGTACCAGAGTGATGGGAAGAGAAAGTATGGAGAAGGAAAGGAACTGCTCATGATCCTAAGCATACCACCTCATCAGTGAAGCATGGTGGTGGTAGTGTCATGGCGTGGGCATGTATGGCTGCCAATGGAACTGGTTCTCTTGTATTTATTGATGATGTGACTGCTGACAAAAGCAGCAGGATGAATTCTGAAGTGTTTCGGGCAATATTATCTGCTCATATTCAGCCAAATGCTTCAGAACTCATTGGATGCCGCTTCGCAGTGCAGATGGACAATGACCCAAAGCATACTGCAAAAGCAACCAAAGAGTTTTTTAAGCAAAAGAAGTGGAATGTTATGCAATGGCCAAGTCAATCACCTGACCTGAATCCGATTGAGCATGCATTTCACTTGCTGAAGACAAAACTGAAGGCAAAATGCCCCAAGAACAAGCAGGAACTGAAGAGAGTTGCAGTAGAGGCCTGGCAGAGCATCACCAGGGATGAAACCCAGCATCTGGTGATGTCTATGCGTTCCAGACTTCAGGCTGTATTTGACTGCAAAGGATTTGTAACCAAGTATTAAAAAGTGAAAGTTTGATTTATGATTATTATTCTCTCCCATTACGTTTGGTCCCTTAACAAGTGGGAGGCACATACGCAAACTGTTGTAATTCCTACACCGTTCACCTGATTTGGATGTAAATACCCTCAAATTAAAGCTGACAGTCTGCAGTTAAAGCACATCTTGTTCGTTTTCATTTCAAATCCATTGTGGTGGTGTAAAGAGCCAAAAATGTTAGAATTGTGTCCATGTCCCAATATTTATGGACCTGACTGTATATCAAAGCAGATAAGGCCATACAGCCAAATTGCCATTTAAAAAAAATAAAACCATAAATATAAATTCATAATAAGTAGTGTTCAGACACCAAGACTCAATTCCAATGTGTTTCTCACAGAAGGCCAATATGACTGGTACATACAGTATATCATGGAGCCAAACAATAGACATCTCTCAGAACAGGGGCTTTTAAATGGCAAGAAATGGCTCCATAAGGGGTGCTCCGATCACACTGCGCATGCGCTCCGTGACATCACCACGCATGTCACACAGTGATGTCATGATGCAGAACGCCACGCAAATACATCATGAAACATGGGCAGCGCAATGGCTAAACGGTTTGCACTTCCGCCTGCCAGGGCCATTGGTTCAAATCCCAACCATGGCACCACCTGCCTGGAGTTTGCATGTTCTCCTGTGCCTGCGTGGGTTTCCTCCAGGTACTCCGGTTTCCTCCCACACTCCAAAGACATGCTGGTAGGTTAATTGGATCCTGTCTAAATTGGCCCTAGTATGTGTATGTATGAATGTAAGTTAGGGACCTTAGATTGTACACCTCCTGAGGGTTAGGGACTGATGTGAACGTACGATATGTATGTAAGGTGCTGCGTGAATTGACAGCACTGTAGAAGTACCTAAAATAAATGAAATTAAAGCTCTAGAAGCCCAGCCATCGACCCGTAGCTCATGAAACACAGGGACCCAAGTCACATGACGCATGGCGGGGTTCTCTCTCGCGGTCAGTCGGGGGGACTCCTTTTCCCTCCATCACCACCCACTCCAGAGCTGACCAGATTAGCAACAGTAAAAGCACAGTAAAAGTCCTCTTCATCCCAGGCATTGGCTGTACTTGTCATATTTGACAGCAGAACATCACACGGGCTTCTTGCTGCACACGCATTGCTTTACTATTCAATAATGCACTGAGAATCGTCCTAATTCTGGGTCACTCAACTTCGATATATTGGCAAATAAACTTTTAAACATAACATTATCCCATTAGAGCAAAGGAAGAGCTTTGTGATAATCATACCACCAATCGCCACTTTTGCTAAATTCCCAATCCAGGTCTTTCCCTAAGATATTCCTTCTGCCCCTCCCCTGAAGGTGAGAGCACATAAGACTCCCTCCAGTAACCCCTCTCTGGTGGTGCCAGTCAATTGCTCTAAGCCAGAAGACCTGCCGCTAAGACCACTCCCACCTTTATAAAGAGGCACCCAATGTTACCACTAGGAGGAGCAACCCTCAGAGAAATTTTCCACCTGCCTACATGCTAGTAGATTTTTAAAGGAATATTCGTACAAAAATTTTTTAGTACATTCGGTGACCTGAAAAATGTTCGAAAGAAGTACTTTTTGTTTGTTTTTGACATTTTGATTTTGGAATGAATGAACTTTACTGAACAAAAAACCCATTCACTGTAAGAAATTCATTACAAGTTTTTGGTGCTAGCAGTAGGTTAGAAATTTTGTTTTCTCAAATGAAAGAATTTCTACTAGTGTATGGCCAGCTTTGGCCACAGAACTGCACCGTTCCCTGTTCCTTCTATGCTACAGTTTTCTTGAAGGAAAAAAAAAGCTTTTTCTTCACCACTAAACATATTCTGCTCTCACATAAATACACCAGAAACTCTGCTGCAGCTCCGAGTGCAGTGGTTCTTTTTCATTGCGCAAAATTATTTTTGGGGGACATCCAATAAAAGCAGCAAGAGGAATACACAGGTGTTATCCAACACTCAAAATGTAATGATATATGGAAAGAAAACAGATGGAGCTCTCAAACTGCAAAAACTATGAACAAGTACAGCCCTCTATTGTATTATAATGTGGTCTCATTTACATTGCTGACTGATCCACCAGAGTACAATGGGCCAGAATGGAACACAGAGATTTTGCAGTGGAGCTTCTTTTGTTACTCACCTTGAGCAGTATATGTATCTCTTGGTGATGGAATCACTTGAGCTGTTAGGGTGGATAAAAGTTGGTGTTACTGAACCCACAACAGTAAAATCAGTCTGTATATGCAGTAAAGCATGCTTGTTATACTCACTGTAGAGCCTAAGGGGTTAATCCTCAGCATTGTGTAAAAAGGCTGTTTGATCCTGTCTTCTCTGATCCTCCCCTTCTTATCTCCTGATAAGACAGTGTGGAGTCAGTCTGCACATGCTCATTTTGGTGTGTATTGCTAGAGGTTTTTTTTTTTTTTTTTTTTTACTTGGGAGAGCGCATGTGATCAGCACAGGGCCAAACGGCACTGTCCAGACAGAGGTCAAGGGTTCTGCATCCTCCTGGAGCAGAATGAAAACTCCTCCTACAAGCATTAACATGTACTCTGCTGGACACTGATAAAAGTTACAAGACTGCTCTAACTGCTGATGGGCAAAGGTATTTAGCAGTTTATATTTACTAATATAATTGTGCTTCCATGTTCTGTGTACTATGGGAGATTCAGATAAAGTGAATGCAGGGTCCGGGGAGACCAGATATAGTGAATGCAGGGTCCTGGGTTTAGTACCGCTTTAAGCAAGCCATAGATGATTCAACTTTTTCCTGCAATCACATATTGTGTTGTGCTGGCAGGAAGCCTTCCTGGCCAGAAGAGCACAATGATTACTGCTAGCGGCTATAGCCACTGGCCGTATTTGGATAAAATCAATCTTACAGGCTTGTTGCACTGAAGTCGATTGATCAACTTCAGTGCAACCAGCCTGCCCATAGATGGTTCAAATCTCAGTCAGTCTCTGATGTACGACCGAGATTTGAACTATCTATGGCCAGCTTTAGAGAGTCACCAGACCACCAGCAAAAATCTTCCTATAAGATTAGGCACTGTGAAATTATATTTCATTTTATTTATCTGTAAAAATCTCCCTTGTGTAGACATCCAAAATTCTGCTGCTGCCCATCCAGTCTTGGATGTGATGTCACTAGACTCGCAGATTCAGATGATATTCTATAGTATGCACTTCACTCCTCCCCCAGCATTTACATAAAAGGTTATACAGGGAGGTGAAGGGAGGGGCGGAGAAGCTGGGCCAGCACATACAGCAATTAGACACTCCCATAAGAGGTGAGATGGAGTTGTTATAGGGAATTGACTTTTCCAATTTTAAGGGCAAATAAATAAAAAAAAAAAATCCATGGAAAAGAAAAACAACAAAAATGAGCATTTAAAGTACTTTGTTGTTGTTGGAAAGTCAGCAGCTACAAATACTGTAGCTGCTGACTTTTAAAAATCAAGTACTTACCTGTGCCTGCATTTCAGTGCTGTTGCCTCACAGCCAGTTCTTACCATTGAGTGTCTGGTTACAGGACCTAAATGTACAAATTGGCTCACGCAGCACTTTTCTGAATGGTCCTGCAGCCTCCTGGGACATGTGATGTCTCCCAGAAGGCTGCTGGAGGGGTCAGGGCAAGGAATGTCACTCTTCCTAGGGGAGGATTGCAGAAGTGGGAACAGGTACCAATAAAAATCGGTACTTGCTCCCCCCCACTCGGGAAAAAATAGGCTTTTACTCAGTTGAAGGAGGGAGGGAGCTAACTTGTAGTTAAGTGTTAGTGGTTAGCTTATGGATTGTGTTGGGGGGGGGGGGGGGGTGGATGGTTAAGATCAAAAGCATTATTTTACATAAGATAGGGTTTAGGCAGTGCACTAGTAAGCACCAGAAATCATTACAAAAAAAAAAAAGCCAGGAAAAGCAGTTCTATAATCTGCTCCCTCGGCCAGTGCTTTCCTCTTCTCCCTTACACCCCTGTGTTACAAACTGTCCCTCTGCATCTTCAAACACAATGCAGAGCTATGGATCCTGCTTTGAGCCTGTTACTGCTGGAGGATAGGGAGAAGAGGTTGTAGGGACTGCTCTAATAGCGTGAAGGGAGCCTACGGGAGCAGAGGATCAAGTAGGTAAAACTGCTTTTCCCAGTCCCCGTGACCTAAGCAGACATGTAACCCCTGAGGTGTGCGGGCACCCTCACTGTATGGAAGGATTTTTCTTTTCCCTTCCCCAGAAATCAGCCTTTAAGTGGTGTGGGGACAGTCCAAGAGATAAATGTATTCAAGCAGATAAAATGATCTCCGTTTCACTTTATGAGCTCTACTGGCTTAATATCCTCTTCTACTGGCTGTTGGGTCCAGGGTTGTAATCTAGCTGAGCTGCTCTTGGCATTCACACAACCTTGTACAACCTGAACGACTTTCCATGAAAGTGAAATGAGTCGAGTTGGCAGCCTCCTCCTGGAACAACTGCGTATTACACACTAACACAATGTATGCTGACCTGGTTGTCTTTCTAATAAAAACAAAAATCTGAAGCTTACTGCAGACCAGAACGTCACGTTGCCCAGGAATGTTGAGCTATATGGATTAACTAAATAAAATGCATGTATAGGTTTATTCCTATTTATGGAGAATATTCTATTTACCATTACTAGGATGTTGAAGGCAATCCTGTGGACATCTACTCCAAGCCAAACCCTGATGGCACCTACGCCTGCTCATACAATCCAACTAAGCCAATCAAGCACACAGTTGTGGTCACATGGGGCAGTGTCGGTGTACCCAAAAGCCCTTTCAGAGTAAGTGAACTGTTTTATCTGATCTCTATACTATTAATGCACTAAAGATTGGTAAGAACTATTTTATATTTGATTTCCTAAATATTACAGCACACTGTGGAAAGACTGATTATATTTCATTATATTTAATACAATTTTTGTATTGTTGAGCAATTATGATTTTTGATTTTTTATGATTGCACTTAGTATAGACAAAAAATAAAATTGTCGTGTTTTTTTTTTTTTTTTTTGTTTTTTTTTTTTTACTTTATTTAGGCTTACCACCTTCCAAACTACTATGTACATAATAGGAGTTGATGTATCAGATGTAAACGGTTTTACCTGCTAAAGGGTTTTTATTCATGTTCAACCCAATGTTGGGATTTACACACTTTTAACACTGCAAAGCCAGGAAGATAGTTTTGCCTTTTCCTGGTTTTATTTCACCTTTTCCTGTGTCACCTGCCTTCTCATTGGATAGTGGATCGGCAGTGTAGTAATGCGTATTTACTGTCCAGTAGGTGAAGGGGTGGCACAAGAACTGTATAGGTGGTCAGGGGTCTTCAAACTTTCCAAAGAAAGGGCCAGTTTACTGTCCTTCAGACTTTGAGGGGGCCAAACTGTGGCCAGCAGGAGTAGTAAATGCCCTGGAAATAAACCATGCCCCATCATTCGGATCAGTGAGAGGAATAGTGCCCCATAATTGGCATCTATGGGAGGAATACTGCCACATAATTGGTGTCAGTGGAGAGTATGGTGCCCCATTGTTTGTGTGAGTAGGAAGAATTGTTCCACATTGTTGATGTCAATGGGAAGAATAGTGCCCCATTGTTGGTGTCAGTGGTGAAATAGTGCCTCAAGAGCTGGACAAAGGCAAATAAAGGGCCGCATCTGGCCACGGAACACAGTTTGGAGACCACTGGTATAGCTGAACCATGAAATTGAGCTAGCACAAGCCTGGCTGTGCTGTGTGGTAGATGTGTTAAATACGGGAATAGCTTAACAGAAAAACAGATTCTTTGGCAGGTAAAACAATGTCCATATATTTTTGTACTTTAAGTGGAACTTCACTTTCTCAATCAGTACTGATTGATTTGTAGTCCTTGTGCTATCTAGTGGTTTGCCTGAAGTTCCACTTAAACTCTATGAACTTTGTTTACAGTGCAGTGAAATCTATTTTTATATATTTTATTTTTCAGTTGAGTATGTATTATTAATGCTCTTCAATATTATAAATATATTTTACGCCGTGATTTTTTTCCCAGGTGAACATTGGGCAGGGCAGCCACCCACACAAAGTGAGGGTTTTCGGGCCTGGCGTAGAGAAAGCTGGTTTAAAGGCAAATGAGCCTACACACTTCACAGTGGACTGTACTGAGGCTGGAGAAGGTATCTAATCCATTCATATTTTAAATGACTTGATTCTTAAAGCATATCTGATCCTCAGAGCAAAAATGTAATATTTCAGCTTATCTGTCCTTAGATGTGGTGGCTATATTAATTTCCTTTTTTAAGGTTTGAGTCCTTTAGTTTCACCTGGTGATCCTGCCAGTAACCTAAAATAACTTATCCTGTAGAGACAATGCTAACTCAACTGTGCTGTGTCTATAGAAAAGCAGAGTTGTCACCCTAGGTGGCTATCTTGATCTGGACTACAAACACATCACTCTTTCCTCATCTGTTACACAGAGGGGATTTGCTGTAGTTCAGGATCTATTAGATTTAAAAGAACCAACTCTTTTTAGTCTTTATAATCACAATTCATACTTTTCCATAGACCATTTCATCTCACCGTAAGATAAAGGTTCCTGCAGAAATAGAATGTTTGCACAATCTAGCTAGCTATTTATGGCCAGATTTTGGAATAATTGCATGTTTTTAAACCCCCACGGATATTCCAGTATGAGCATTGGCACTCCAGTTCACTCTGTCCCTTTTGATGCATTTTGCTTCCTAAAGAAGCTTAATAAAGCTCCAATAAGGAGGTGAAATATGTCAGTGGCATGTCAGTGTTCATAGCACAGTTTTTTAGTCCAAAGGAGAACAAAGTGCTGCCCTGTATGTGCTGATGTGTCTGGAGGGGGTTGATAGGTCCCAGATACACCTACATCTGTGACTGGATGGAGGGGCTTTAGTGTATGAAAATATATACAAACGGCAAGTGAATTTGCTATAAAAGAACAAACTGCTTGATGAGTCTCCGACATGACAAATATCCATAGAACTAGAGCACACACGGGAGAGTATCTTCAGCAGAACCTTCCTGTTTGCATTGCGTGATCAAGTTAACTGTAAATTAGCATCTAGGGGCAACAAGAACCCTTCCTTTTTGAGCTCCTCTTTGTATGACACCTTGTATAAAAATTTTGTAATTGTAACTATTTAATACAATAGTTCTTTCAGTATTCTTGATGTGGGTATAATTTGTAAAAAAAAAAAAAAAAAAAACCCTGTGTCCTCTAGGTGATGTCAGCGTTGGAATCAAGTGCGAAGCCCGTGTAATAAGTGATGAGGAAGAGGACATTGAATTTGACATTATTCCCAATGCCAATGACACGTTTACTGTGAAATATACTCCTCCAGCTGCTGGGCGATACACTATCAAAGTTCTCTTTGCTGGAGAGGTGAGAAATGAAGAGTGAATCTACCCAGGTTCTGATTCTTCGCTACCATCTAAAGTGTAAAAAAAAAAAAAAAGGCTTCAATAATTACTTGGGATTGTTCTGGGCTTTTACTTCCAGCTGAAAGGTCTCTAGATCAAGGTATAGATTTTCACATGAGATCTACCCTTGTTTTTACGGTATCTTCGCTCATCTTGTCTTTGTGAGTGTCCATCCTTTTGACTAACAGCTGAGACAGCCAGTTAAAAAGCAATAATGGAGAAGTGACCGTAGTGCCCCTGTTCCGAACTAACGTTCCGCTGCTAGTCTCTGTGAACAGGCAGGCTATTATTGCATGCAATGTCTCTCCTGCAATATAACACATGTACCTGCCTTTCCACAGTGATCCCTGGCATGTAAACTAAGCTGTGCATGGGCAGCTTAGCTTACAGCATCTGGCCCGATCACTTTGTGCCAGGGTGACTAGCTCCTGTGCATGCGCAGGAGTGCTGTCACCCCGCCCTTGCCAATGAAGATGACCAAAAACCAGCACAAAGAAGAAGATGGCAGTGCCAGTGAGGGACAGAACTATTTAGAGGGAAGCGGAGTATTCCATCTTTTTTATGTCTGCTTTAAAGCGGAAATAAAGTTAAATAAAAAATTGCAAACTGGCAAGCTCTTGCAGAAGAGACCTTGCATACAAGTATTTTTATATCAATCTTGTGAAAAATTGTAATATGGCACAATTGTAGTATGGGATCTTTAAAAAGTCCCTCTTCTTTTAAAAAAAAAAAAAAAAAAAAAAAAAAAATCACTTTCGATCGTCATCAGAGCTACTTTTGGTTTGTGAGATCTCCTTTAAGATACAACATTAAACCTTTATTCTGAGAAGTATAGGCGAAGCTCTTTTGGCTCTACTTCTGGGTATCAAAGGAGTGTAGTTCGTTCTGCACTCCCGTGACTAGTTTTTATCCGACAGTGTGCTAAAGCCTGCTGTCGGTTGACGTCACAGACCTGACGTCCCGACCATGTGGTCAGGATCTGCCCAGATGCCTGGACCAGCATCTGAGAGCTTGAGACAGCCGCTCCCGCCCCCTCCAAAGCCCAGCAATCCTGTGAGCACTGGAAGGGCAGAGCAGAGAGTCAGTGACCGACGGTCACCACTCCACTCACATGAACACTGAGAACTGAGCAATTTGCGGTCTTTAATTGCTCAGTTTTCAGTCTTGGAGCTGGCAAGGAATAGATACAGCATTGGACTGATGCTGCATCCACCTAGGTGAGTCCTGTTAACCCATACTTTTATTTCAACTGGTACTTTCTTCCTAAAACTCTGGCTTGTTCTCATGTGTGACTATTACTTCTATCCCTCTGAGAAGTGATCCACAGTGGATTGCCTTTCAGAGGGTGTTAGACAGGCCATGTGCAGGCAATATGTATTTACTGTGTTCTATGCAGCAAGAAAAGTAAATGTTAAGTGTTATCAAACCAGATGTAAATGTTTTTACAACCATTTTGACTTCTGCCAATCCAATATTATTCTTGTATTGCACTAGCAAGGCTTAAGTTGGATAATCCATTTGCTGATCTAGTGCATTTTTATTTATTTTTTTTAGGAAATTCCAAGTAGCCCCTTCAAAATCAAAGTTGAACCTTCACATGATGCCAGCAAGGTGAAGGCTGAAGGCCCAGGACTTAGTAAATCTGGTAAGTTTGTGATACAGAAAGTGTGTGTGTTCCCAATATTGACCTTCTAACCCTCCCCCTTCCTTGAAAATAGTTATTTTTTTGGATGTGTGGGGGGGGGGGGGGGGGGGTTGACCAGTACCTTTTTCAGCATGTACTTGCACTCACTTGGTTCTTGCATAGGTGAGAATGCCATAACACTTTGCTTGCCACAAACCCACTACTTGCTTTTTGGAAGTTTTATTTAGTATTTAATAGGCACGTGTGTGTGTGTGTGTGTGTGTGTGTGTGTGTGTGTGTGTGTGTGTGTGTGTGTGTGTGTGTGTGTGTAATAATATATAATATTTCAATTTAAGGTCCTTAACACACATTTATCCATACACATACTGGGGCAATTTAGACATGAGCTAATTAACCTACTAGCATGTCTTTGCGGTGTGGGAGGACACTGGAGTAGCTGGTGGAAACCCATGCAAGCACAAGTAGAAAATGCAGACTCCACGCAGGTAGTGTCATGGTGGGGATTTGAACCAATGCCCCTGGTGCTGCTAGGCAGAAGTGCTAACTACTTAGCCACTGTTGTCACACATCCCAGGAGATTACAGGACAAATCAGCACAAGCTTGCCAATATTACACATGTGCAGTGGAGATCTGGCTGTAAATCATTCAGAAGCAAAAGCCGGATCTCAAATCCTAGATGGCAGCATGGAAACCTTATGAGTGGTGAAGACTTCAGGTGTTAGTAGGACAGCTCTGGACCTAATGGACTGGTAGGTATATGTTTCTTAAAAGTAATCGGGTACAATATTTGTCCCTGTTGACTGTTATTTTTTAGAAGATGCGCGAAGTTCCTCTTTAACAGTTTACGATTATACAATATTTAAGGGATGAGTCAATACAGTGTAGGATCATATTTTTACATTTAACTACCACCCAAAAAATTAAATTGCTCCAATTTGCCTAATTTTTCTTAAGCCCCTTCTAGATTAACCAGCAGATCAATGAAAACTTTTCTATGATTGTCTACGTTTTGATGTAATTTTCATGCTCCGCCCCTTATAAATAAAGTTGTACAAAGGAATTCAGATTGGGCATATGATGAGACCATGTTTTAATAAAAGGTTACCTTCAGGGATAACTCTGTAGGACATTCTGGCAGCTGGAGATGTACAGTGCTGTGAAAAAGTGTTTGCCCCCTTCTGGCCATCAGTTCTTGACCGCTTTCGCACTTTGGGTATGCAGCAGAACAATGATCCGAAACACACCAGAAAATCCACCTCTGAATGGGTCAAACAAAACAAAATTCAGGTTTTGGAGTGGCCTAGTCAAAGTCCGGACTTAAATCTGATTGAGATGCTGACCTTAAACAGGCTGTATATGCTCGAAAGTCCTCAAATGTGGCTGAATTAAAACCATTCTGCAAAGAAGACAGTCAAAATTCCTCCACAGTATTGTGAAAGACTCATTGCCATTTATCGCAAACGCTTGAGTGGTTGTGCCACCCTTGGCGGCAACAACTGCAGTTATTAGGTTTAGGGGGCAATTGCTTATTCACAATAGGGGCCAAGCAGGGTTGGACAGCTTTTTTTTCCTTCATAAATTAAATCATTTTAAAAACTGCATTTTGTATTTAGTCTGTTTTTTGTGTAATAAAATTTGATTATCTGAATGACTTAGGTGTGACAAATATGCAAAAACATTAAAAAATCAGGAAGGGGGCAAATACTTTTCCCTTTTTGTGTATATGAATCTTCTGTAAAAGAGGAGATTTAGTAAGCTGTAGGAGAACGTGTGATAATGGTACACCCAAGGTTTTAGGTCTCTTATGTGCAAAATAACACCACCCAGAATATCCGATGTATCAGAATGACTCAGAGCAGGCAACCCCCTGTCATTAAGATGTCATTTTGCGACCTTCAGTCTGCAGTACCTGTCAACAAGTGAACAGCTGCTGTAGCTGTTCCAGGATTCATTGCCCACGCTGAAAATTGAAATAACCTGTAATAATAGTTTATTTTGTAAAATAAGAATTTTATACAAAGAAAAAAGTTAAAATATTTCAGTTTATCAAATAGTGACCAAAAGCTTTAGTTTCCATTTTAAAGGTCCATCTAGCTTCGCCCAAGCCAGCTGTCTACACAACCTAAATAAGAACAGACACTTGCAACTCTGCCTTTGCAATTTGTCATTACCCTGGCTTGAGCTGCCTGGATAATTTAGTGAACCACTTGACTTGAAAGAAAATATCATCTTCTAAATTTCTCTACTTCCTTCTCTTTTATATTTAAAGGTGTTGAGAATGGGAAGCCGACACACTTTACAGTCTATACCAAAGGGGCAGGAAAAGCCCCCGTTGATGTGAACTTCAGTGGGCCCACTCAGGAAGATTCTGTAAAAGACTTTGAAATCATTGATAATTATGATTATTCCCACACTGTCCGCTACACACCAACTGAACAGGTATGTTTCAGGATCCTGCACCCGGTGTAATGCTGTAAGGTTGCACCGCTCTGGATAGGTACAATTGCTGTAGGTCTCATGTAATCATTCCATAAACTGGCTACTTTAGTTTCTCCAAACTAATGAAATCTTTACACTGATTAACTGAAAAGAATATGGCTGTGTTCCCTTTTGAATAATTTATGGACTGTGATTACAGTATCCACAAAGATAAACAAAATGGAACGTTTTTAATTAACGGCAGCCCCTCTTGGACAGCCGCACTGTTTGATGAGAAACACTTGGACTTGTTTATTTGTGGAGGACATGAAATGAGTAATATTGTGTTATTTTATTTACCTCAGCTGTGCTCCTTATTGGATTTCTTTCTGGTATTACATTGATTAACCAATAATTGGCAATTCAAATGATGCATATTTTTAATCAGTGTAGCCTTGAATTATGCATAATATAGATCAGTGTCTCTCTAAAGCCAGCCATAGATCGAAATTCGGCCGTTTCCTGCTGAACCAGATGAATTTCGATCTATCTATGGTCAGGCTGGTTGTACTGAAGTTTATCAATAGACCCAGTCTGTTGGGGTTTTTTGCTCGATCATTGCCGGCAGCAATTCCCCCATTAACACTGTGTTGATAGGAGAATCGAGTGACTTTTTCTTTTATCCTGTGGTTGAGGAAAGAAATTTGCATAATGTATGGTCTGCCTAATTCAATGATGGAAATCCAGTAAAGGTACAAGGCACTGGTATTATATGCTTTTAAAGTGACACTCAACTCTGATTTACAAAAATAACATTCATGACTCAAAAGAACTACCTTCTGTCACACTCATCCGCCTTCATTCCACGTTCCTTTTGCTTTGATACGACTTCCTTTTAGAGGGTGGCTAAATTTTTTTTTTTTTTTTTTTTTTTTTTTTTTTTACTCCAAGGTTCTTTCGCATGTAGGAACAAAGCCATCCTCTCTTGCTGACTCCTGAGATGGTCTAAGGACTATGGGATTTGTACCGTGAATAGAGCAGTGCACATGGCCACAACTAATATTCATTGCCAATTTTAAACAAACAAAAGTGAGATGAAAAAGAGAGGTTTAGGAGCTCAGCAATGATGCTACAATGAGACAGAAATAATTTAATGATTTATAGATTACAGGGCCATTAGGTAGGGAAGTACATGGATTATTTTTAGAGAATAGGGATTTTTAGTGCCACTTTAAAGGGAACCACAAAAGCCTATACCTTTTTAAATGTTAGCAGGTTCCCCTAAGAACTGTAACTTTGCATCATTTATGCAAATTTACTTTTTTATTTTATTTACAAATATTGACAATCTGTCAATAGTATTTATTTATTACAGGTACTTGTATAGCAGCGTTCATTTACACAGTGCTTTTATAGTAATAAGATATTGATTGCTCACCCAGGTACTGCTTGTCCAGGTACTCTCCTGGTCTAGCAATTCGCTTCCCTACATTGATTTCACACAAAGCTCTTTTTTTTTTTTTTTTCTTTGTAATCAATTCAAGGAGTGTTTTCTGACCCCCAAAACACGCTTGCCTTTTTCTTTTTTTTTTTCCCTCAGTATGAACTTATTAATTTGGAGACTCTTATCCTCTGGTCTGGTGCTCCTTATATTAGTAATAGCAGTGTTTGTTAGCTGAGTCTCTCCCCCCCTATAACCACTAGGTTTTGATCCTGCCAGATCAGTTGACTTTCAATTTCCTTCAGCAGGTTGACAACAAGGTTTGATCAGCAGCAAATCACCTTTGTCAGTGTATTCAGCTGGAATTGTCAGAACACACATTTGATGTGTGAAGTTGTAGTTCGTTCTTTATTTTTTTATAATTTAAATATTTATTATTAGTTTTTCACAGTAATGACAATAGAAAAAAAAGATAAAAAAAAAACATTTTCATCTCAATCATCATAAATATACAATTATTTCTTATTACTTCATTTACCCCCCTCTTGAAACATTGGCCCCTAACCCCCCCCCCCCCCCACTCTGCATTTTCCTTATTTTATCCAAAGCAAGCATATCCTACCCATCTATCTGTTCTCTATGACGTTCTACTTTTCACTTTCTCACGTTTATTACAAAGTTTTCCCATTTTTCCCATTTTGCGAGATATACCTCCAACTTATCGTCCTGTATATAATATGTCTTCTCCATCTTACTAGTCCAGTTTACTCTTTCTATCCACTCCTCCTCTTTCGGTATTTCTTTTTTCTTCCAATACTTGGGGATCAGGCTTTTTGCTGCGTTCAAATAGTACCCTAAACCTAATTTCTTATATTTACTAACTGATAGCTCTGAACTGTGTAACAGGCACATCCCTGGATCTAACCCAATGTTCATTTCAATGATGTTCTCTATTAAATGTACTATTTTTTTTCCAGAATATTTGAATCTTTGGACATTCCCACCAAATATGATACACCGTCCCCACTTCCCCACACTCTCGCCAACACCACTGTGATTTCTCCTCACTTATCTTACACTCCACACTCGGAACAATGTGCCATCTTGTCAGACATTTATAATTTTGTTTCCACATCCCTCAAACTTACATTTCCGTGAACTAATCTATTTATTTTTTTCTGTTTTCCTTCATCCAATACCACCCCCATATCTCTTTCCCATTTCACTATGTGCAGTGGTTTAGTGTTTGTGTCTAAATCTGTGAGAATTCCATATATTTTAGCTATTCCGTGTTTCCCATCACCCCGTGTATCCAGCAACCTTTCAAACAAATTCCCATCCTTTTTCGTTCTCAGGGGTTTTGGGAGATTTCCCCAAAAACATTTTAATTGATAATAACGCCACTCATCTAACCTAGTGAAAATATTTCCCTTTTCCTTTTCCAACTCTTTAAAGGTCTTCAGTTTCCCTTCCCCCATTATATCTTTGAGTTGGACATCTTCTTTTATAAACCATCTACCTGTTATCTCTTCTCTACCTGGTGGAAAGAATTCTGTGTTTCTTAGTGGCATTAGTATAGAATTAAATTCCCATTTCATATATTTGTGTATTTTATCCCATTCCCTTAATACATTTACAGTGTACAAACTTAAATCCTCCTTCAATCCTCTATATTGTGCCGGTAACCATATTATTCTATTCAAATTAGTTCCACTAAGTGTATTCTCAATTTTTACCCAACTTTTCCCCTCTAAATTGAACGTCCAGTCAAAAATTATCCCTAATATTACTGCTTTGTAATATCTCTTTATATCTGGAACTCCCAGACCACCCTTCTCTTTATCTCTACTTAATATTTTGTGGGACACCCTCGGTTTTTTTTTCCTCCAGATATATCCCGTTATCATTCTTTTTATTACTTTAAAAAAAGCTTCCGGTAGTTTGATTGGTATCATTTGCAATCTGTATAAAATTTTTGGTACAATTATCATTTTTACCAGGTTTATACGTCCTAACCACGATGGGAATCCTCTCTCTAACGCTTTTAATTCCCCCTTTACTTCATTTAATAATGAAATATAGTTTAGTTTATACAAGTTTTTATACGCAGCACTAAGCCTTACTCCCAAATATTTTAGATCTTTCTTTCCAAATAAAGGGAAATTCTTTTTGTATTTTTTCTTGTTCGCTTTTTGGGATGTTTATGTTTAAGATCTCAGTTTTTGTGTTGGGTTGATTTTTAAATTTGATAATTCTCCATATTCCTTCAGCAGTTTCATTAGATTTGGGAGTGTTATCCTGGGATTCCCCACATAAAACAGCAGATCATTGGCAAAAGCTGCCACTTTATGTTCTACATTTCCTATCTGAATTCCCCTTATATCTCCATTTTTCCTTATTGTTGATAAAAGAGGCTCTAATGACATAACATATAATAAGGGGGACAGAGGACAGCCCTGCCTTGTTCCATTTGACATCCCGATGGGCTCTGTTTTTTTCCCCATTTAGTATTACCACTGCGGAGGGCTTACTGTACAGCTTTCCAATCCATTCCCTCATTCTAACTCCAATTCCCAGGGCTTCTAAGGTATCCATCATGAAGCCCCAGTCTACTCTATCAAAGGCCTTTTCTGCGTCGATTGAAAGGGCCACCACCGGTACCTCCCCCTTTTTACTTCTCTGTATCAGCATCAGGGATCTCAGCCCATTGTCCCTGCCCTCTCTTCCTGGGATAAAGCCCACCTGATCTCCATTCAGGTATCCATTCAGGCATAAACTCCTTCAACCTATTCGCTAGGACCTTTGCATATATCTTAGTGTCTAAATTCAACAGTGAGATGGGCCTATAACTCGAACACTGCGAGGCATCTTTCCCTTCTTTATGTAACAGTACCATATGAGCCTGTAAAGATTCTCCCCTCATGTCCATCTCTCCTCCCAGGGCGTTCATATATTTTTCCAATTTGGGAGTTAATATTTCACTAAATTTTTTATAGTACCCTGCTGTATAGCCATCCGGTCCTGGGCTCTTCCCCATATCCATGCTTTTTACTACTACTTTTATCTCTTCTTGTGTGAGCTCTGCTTCAAGGGAATTTAGTTGGTCATCTTTTATTTTCGGTAGTCCCGCATTTTTTAGATATATCTTCCTTTTTTCCCTTTTTTCCTTTTCCATATTATTTACTTCATCGTATGGGATGATATTATACAACTTCCTGTAATAATCCACGAACACCTTTGCGATCTCTTTGTTTGTTTGAGTGGACCAATTCTCCCTTGGGGCTTTTTATTTTATCTATATAGTTCCTATTTTTTTTTTTCCTTAAGGTTCTCATTAGATATTTTCCTGGCCTATCTCCCCATTTGTAATTCTCACTTAGCACTTTGTTATAAACTCTTCCTTCTCTCCTCTTCCATCAGAGTTTCCAGCTCCTCTTTCTTTTTTGTTATCTTCTGCTTAATTTCTTTTACCATGCTATTTTTGTGTATCTGTTCTAGCTCAGATATATCCTTTAAGAACCCACTAATTTTTTCTCTTCTTTCTCTTTTCTTTCTTGCCCCAATAGCAATCAGGATTCCT